CACCTGGCAGCCCCGGCTGCCTTCTCTCCCGGAACGGCCTCGCCCTTTCCTTGCGCCGCCATTTTGAGGTGCAGCCCCTGTGCTATCCCGCCGGACGGATTTTTCCCGTTACCGTTTGGACAAAAATAGGTTAATTTTTTTTTTTAATTTCCAGCAATTCGGAGTATGATCTGCATCAGTACCCGTTTGTTTGGTGCGTGCTCGACTAAGTGAAATGCGGTAATCTAGTGGATGCAGGACTTTTCCGAGGGCTTGACGAGCCGCGCCGGTAGCCAGGCACCCAAAGCGCCTTAAAACAGGAGTGTTAGAAACAGGCATTTCATAAATGAAGAGCCCTACAGGCACGTTAGCTCAGATGTAATAACTAGAATTGTCACCAGCGAGGAGAGGGCTTCGATGGTGCTTAGAAATGGCGAAAAAAGCAGAGGGTTTCAGAAAAGATGGCGCGTCCTCACCTTGGGGCGGCCTCCCATGATTCTCCTCACAGGGCGGTGTTGGAGAAGAGGGACAGAGGAACATAAACAGCATTCTTTTTTCTTTTTGTTTGTTTGTTTTGTTTTTTTTTTAAACAGAGGTAAAAATTTAGCCTAGAAATGTGAACTCTACCACGAAACAATTAACCAGTCACTTAAGAGTGTCTTAAGCAGCAATGAACAGCGCAGGTGAAATACAGCCAGGTCTCAAGAGAGCCCTGCTGGAATGAAAATGATTACAAACCCAACAGAATTAACGGCTGACGATGCGCCGAACCGCACATTTGATTGTAAGGAACACAGATACCTCAAAGATTTTCACCTTTTAATGAAGAATTTGGAGATGGCCGTTGCCAGATGAGATGTGAAGCTGTAACTCTGCTGTGAGAACTGGCATCAGTCTTCGTGTTGTGATAAGGCCTGGAGACTCCACCAGGCAGCTGGTTTGTGCTTTCAGTGCTCAGTGCAATCTTGTAATACACGAAGATTTATTGCCACAGCTGAATTGCATATAATTATATTAATGCGGTACAAAAATCCAGTATTTTTCTTCTGGCGGCGTTCTGAGTAGCACCATTAGAAATAATATATGGGTTGTGAAGCTGTTTTACCCATTGTCGTGTATGACATATTTATTTTTTAACAAAAATGACAGCCTCGTGTGAGAAGATCCTCTGAATTTGTCATCCAGAGTTGGCTAATGGTTTGATGCTGCTTTTCTCCAGCAGGACTCAGAATATTTACTGCAGTCATATCCTGGAAGCCATCAATCATCCCAAATTTAGATGTCTTTTCTTCCAGACTTTTCTTCCAAACTGCTGCTTTTAAAATCCCCAAACATACTATTGATTACTAGTGCAATTGAATCTCTCAGTCCTTTCTACTAAGGACATGCGTATCCTCTTAATTCACAACACCTAGCAGCATTTGTCGTTTGCAGTCATGTTACTTCATTTTAAGAGTATGCAAAATAGCAGGTATTTTACAAATGCATCCTTTGAGAAGGACTGTCATTTTCTGCAGCTTTACCCTTTACATATATCGTATTGTAAAATTACAGAAGAAAACCCCTTTTCTACAAAAGGATTCAAAAGACAAAATTAATCATGACTGTCTTAGTGACTAGATGATAGAGTACTATGTATGTTAATAACTCAGAGCTCTGCAGTCTATTCTATCTGGGAACTTTGTGCTGTGATTTATAAACTGATAAATAGAAAGTCCTAGCTGTTTAAAGTAATGATTGTGCTTTTTATTTTGAATTCATCCATGTAGCTTCCATGTATGCCCCAATATCTTGGAGTTTTTATGGGACCCGTCAGGGAAACAACTAGCAAACATTGTTAAACTGTTTCTAGAGAACGAATTTTTAATATATGCTCCAAATTATTTTTTGCATCCAAAATTAGGATCTTCTTCACTGCACTTAGGCTCTTCTTTCACATTGTGCAGAGGCAAAAATATTCTGCATTGTCCTGTGCCTTGAGGTGGTGTTTCCTAGTATTTATTTTAGTATTTTAAGAAAATGTTTTGTTTGCTACCAGTGTTTCCAGGCACTATGAACTAGGGTTCCAAGCTTCTAAATACATTTGGTAAAACTATTATCTCTTTCTCAGAGTTTTTATCACAGCCTATACTAATCCAGTCACTTGGGATTAGTTGTTCTGATCCTCACTTAGAACTGTTAGGCAAATTCACTTCTGTCAAACACCCAGCATTTTAAATGCTTCCCCCACCCGCTCCTGTTTCCACAGCCTCAGTGATACAGTGTGGAGCCTTAATGCCACTTAAGTTAAATTCTGCAGTTTTTTTCTATTCCACTTTATCCTGGATTAGGATCTCATCCTCATCCCCAATTTGTTGTGGCTTTACTTTTCACACAGGACTAAGAATATGCGGAAGCTGTTGTGGGACAGTTAAGTACCAGATAACTTTGCTTCACGGCAGGTATATTTGAGCCAACTACCTGGACCCAGTACGTTCCGGCTAAACAGTGGTTGCATCCTTTTTTTAGAAGACTGCGTGGCTCCCAAACTGTTTGAAACCTCGTAACCAAGTTGTTGCACACAGCAGCGCTGGGCAAACAGAAGAGTGGATTTGTAATAATCTGCTTTCCACTGTATGTGAGTTCTGTCTTTAATTGCACTTATGCATATACAATCACAGAACCGTTCAGGTTGGAAAATACCTTTACGATCATGGAGTCCAACTGTAAAATACATTTTCTGATTTAAATGTACTTTGCAAATAGGACAGGAGGAGCGTAGGGAACGGATGAGTAGTTTTTCCATGACCAGCGTTGCAGTCGATAGGCTTAGTAAACCAGCTGGAGTAGAGGCTACGAATTTTGTACGTGCGCATCTTTTCTTGCATTCTTTATACCTTCTAAGAGCCTTAAGCCTCTCAAAGGTGGAGCTGCACCAGGAACAAAGCTTTACCTAAATGATACTCCTCCTTTTTTCCTAACTGTGGTTTAGACTTTCCATGAGTCCGTTACCACTGAGAATTTTGGTTCCATTAAAGTGGTTTAGATAGTAATTCAAATGCAGTTACAACTTTTTCCTCCTTGCCTTAAAATATATGGTATTGTCTTGCAATTTTCGCGTGTTTATTGTAGTGTTAAAGCTCTTGACTGTGTAAATCCTTGAATTGCATTTTTCTGTTTTAGTTTCAACAATGACTGACAGGCTTTTGAACAACTTTGACAAGCTTCTGCTCGAGTTTGGTGAGTCACTACATCATATATTTTTAATTATTAATTACTAATGTAGTACCTATAGTGATGTTTTCTGCTTTAAACATATTGCCTTCAAATAAATTTGTAATATTAAGGTTTCAGTGTTTGCCTACGTAATGTTTGCTATGTGTGAGGTTTTGGAGAGGGATTCTAACAGCTATTTAATAATAAAATTGCTGTTTAGATATTTTGTTGAAATCTTTGTTAATCTGTGTGTGTGCAATTAATGTAAAACATATATTTCTTTTACTGCTCAACTCATGTATGTATAAGTATATATGAAAAAGTGTTAATTTTCCTCTTAGTTTTCCAGCTAGGACAAACATTTTCTGCTAAGGAACATGCGAATCAACAGATAAATGGTTAGTAGAGCTAAATTATCATTTTATTAGACACTGAAGACACTGCTTTTGTTTCATTAGTCCTGGTCCACGTTCTGTTTCAGAGGCGGAAGCAGTCTTAATGAAAAGCTGTCCCGTGTCCTGCTCTCACCCTGCCTCATCGTTTGCCATCAATACTTGCTCATTCTCCCCAGCAGACTTTGCTTTTGCTCGCGACTTTCAGCTAACGCTGCTCAGCTGTCTCATGGGCAGCCAGTTTCATGCTGCGCCATTTCCTGCCCGTGGTCTGTAGCTCCTCACAGGCACTGGCAGTTCTTTGATTCAGCTGTGCTTGCTCAATACATCTGCCTCTTGCCTCCCTTTCTTTCCTCATGTTTTTTGTTCTTTCCAGATTTGGACCTCTGCCTCGCTTCTTCTTCTCTGTTGCTGTTTCCTTAAAATAATGAAAGTTCTCTCGGTTGCTACTACTACTCAAGCCTGGTTAATTTTTTTTTTTTTTGCAATCAAACAACTGGTAATTTTATTTGGAATTCAAAACAGTAAATCAGATCAGAAAGTCTCGCTCCATATCAAATTCTTTTCTCCCAGGACTTACAGGCAGCATAATGCTGTGCGCTTAGGTCTGGACTTCGTTTTTTATCATGATACTTTGTTGAATCACCCACTCACAAGAATGTTTGTGGCAGAGAAACTATCCTTTGAACAATCTGAGGACACGTGTGCTCATCATTGAAATTTTGTAGGTAGATACTGAAGCTCATAACATTCTGGAAGAAGAACGAGAGAATTCTGGTCTAGTTGTTACTCGCCTTGATGGCAACATTTCTAACAATCTTGACTGAGTTTTCAAGCAAGTACTGTCCAAGCAAATACTTACTCATCAAGATTATTAATATTAAATTGAAGCATCTTAAACATTGAAACATCTCTAACACTAAACCTGGTACACCTAGAATTCTGGGCTAACTCTTCAGCCACATAAATGAACCTTGGGGTTGAGATTTTTCTTAAAATTTATGCAAGGTTACGATAAATAAAGTACACTTTCAGGGCTGTGCAGTAACACGGCATCACTGTTTGCATCTTCACTTCAAAAATATCTAAATATGGGAACTCACAGCCTTTAAAAAGTTTGGTCTTTCAGAATCTTTCAAAAACTTACCCAGAAATAGTTCCACTGATTTAATTTCGTCTCTATGTGAGTATTCCTTGGCAGAGGAACAGTTGTAGCATTCAGCCTTACACTTTTGGTGTGAGATTCATCAGGCTTTTTGGCTAGAATCCCTTTATAACCGGTGGAGGGAAATAAGCACTTTCAGGGTGTGATTTGTGCTATCCTGAAGAAAGTAGATTAGAAGAAGTAAGCTTTAAAAAATGTCTGCTTGTCCCCACCGAGTGTAGCTGTAGCCAGGGGTGTCTAGTTCTGAAGCAGGTGCTTGCATTGTGTAGTTGGGTGAGATGGATCTCATCTGCAACATCCTTGTGAAAGCACGGGGTGGGTAGAGCATCTCACTCTTGTCACAGAAGTGCTCATCTCCAGAAAACACGGAATGAAATGTGAAGTGCATTGCTCTGCTTACGCAACGGTTGTTTTGTTAATAAAGTTACACCATATCTTGATAAATCTTCAAATGTCGTCTGCAGGGTATTTCCAAATACCCGTTTTTTTTACAGAAGAGAAGCAAGGTGCAGTAGTTATGCTTCATGCTAAGTAAAGGCAAATTACTAACCTAAGATACTGAAAATAGTGATATTAAAACTATTAAGATATTGAAGATATTCAGGATGACTCAAGATATTAAAATATTTTTTTGCTTTTATTTCTCTCTGAAGTGGTTTTTGTTTGTTTGTTCTGTTTTTGTGATGTTCATGCAGCCGACACTGGAAGTGAATGTGTAGAAAGCACTGCAAACCCAGACTCAAACTGCAGGAGGACCTGAAGTTCTAGAGCAGGAATTCAAACTCAAGAGACATTTTACTTAACTAAGATGCCCTTCCTGATTCCGTAGATGAGAAGGCCAGGGTGTCTGTGACTGGCTTCTGTCTAGGGCCACCAATGTTGGCAAGAAAGTGATCAGGGCAGTAGCAATGGCAGGGGATGACACTGATACACCTTGTATGAAAAAATAAACAGCAAAGGAAAAAAAAATGCACCTAGTTCTGCTCATTGCATTACAACGTGAGAATGCACAATAGCTCTCACAGCTTTTCCTCGTGAAAGAGAACACTGCGTTCAACGATATGGATCTAAGCACTCATTCAGAAAATGTTATCGGGTGTCTGCTGTTACAAAGGGCAGAATTAAGAATCTGCCTTAAGAATTACTGCAAATATAGCGCTTGGTGATTTGTTGTTATAATGCATTTTTTTCATTGTTTCCTGTGTTAATTTATTGTACATTACATGTGCCCACTTTGAGTAAATTCCCTTTTAATTTCTCTGTTTCTAGTAGTAATTTGCTTATATGCCTTTCGCAATGTTTTCCCTTTCTTGTAGCCAGCTTTCCTATTCAAAACATTTGTGTTTCTGGACTTCTCTAAAACAAATCCATTTTTTCAAGGAGCCCTTTATCTCAAGCCACTTTTGTACTTCAGTCTCCCCAGTTGCCAGCATTACCAAGGGTCAAGTGATTTACACTCTGGTTTCCCTCTGTGCTACTTCCAGTATGTGCAGACACTGGGCTGCAAAAAAATAAGAAGGGTTGCCTCTAGCTATTAAGAGTGCTTTGCTTTCTACCTCTAATACTTACTTTAGTTCTGTGTAGACTGGGATGCTGAAACAGCACAATTTATTTATTTTTTTCCTCCAAAGGCAACCTCACAATATTAAAAGATAATTAAGGTACTCGCCCCACAACTGCAACTGGGATTTTGACTCACTTTGTTGTTGCTTTGCTTAATTGCAGACTGCCCACTCCTCTGGGACTATTAAGGGAAAGTATTTAGGTATAAATTTTTAACAGTTTTGAATTTAGACTTTTTATTTCAGGGATATGTTGAAAATACATACACTCACTTTTAAAATGTTTTTTACTTTCAGTGTATACTGTAAAAATCAAGGAAATAAAGAACGAAATTGCTAGGTTGGAGGAAAATATAAATAATAGCAATGATGCGATCGCTGATTTGCACAAACAAAGTGAGAGCAGTAAGGAGAGCTGCAATGTGTAAGTATAACAGAGCCTGAACTTTGAGGTACGGATTTAAGTTGTTATTGATTCATGGCATTAAAGTCAGTGAGGAAGCAATGTGAAAATATGTATGTGTGTGTTCAGGCAGGAGTGGTGTTAAAGAAAACTAGTATTTTATTTTTTTTCAAGCTGCAAATCATCAGGTATGAAACTGTAGTATCACCCACCCCTTGAACAAGGAAATTATAGAAAAACAGACTACAATTAAATTTGGGTTAGTTTTTTTTTATTAGAATCAACAATTTTCAGAGAACTCACGTGCTGTCTTTGCAGCATGCTGAAGTATTCAGGTAAGTAAGAAAAACATAATTTTTCTATATTTAGATACAGCTCAGTTTTGTCATATTTGAACATTCTTAATAATACTGTTCAAAAAAGCAAATTTTTTTAAAACTAAAAATAATTTAACAATTACCCATGACAATGAGGCTTTATTGTGTTCTTTATTTAATTCTGAATTTGTCTTCCTGAAATTGAGGCATCCTTCTATCTTTGTTCACAACACGTTTTACATTCTTTTTGGTGTATATATATTCTCTCCTAAGGTGTCATAACTGCCTCTACAAACTGATGCCATGAAAAGACAGGATCGGGACTCAATACCCATATGTGTGTACTTCTGCAGGCAGATTTTTGGTGTAGTTGTTTCTGCAGCAAAATTGTTTTGATGAATGCAATGGGCTGCTTTTCTTTATAGAAGTTTTTCTGGCAGATTATTGGTATAAGTTTTAAATGCAGATCACTGTTAAATCTTACTAATCAGAAGTTTCTCAAGCAAGAATTTGGCTACACGGAGTATTTTCTTCCTGACATAGAATACCTGATTTTTAAAATTGAAAGTCTCGGGTGTTTGCAAGGATACCTAAACAGACAAATTTGTTTTTGACAATACAGAGAGTTTGGCCCAGGTGATAGAATCATGTCTTTTCATTGCAGCATTCATCTCCCCACAGCCTGTCTAATTCCTTGGCAGTTGAAGTGGTGATTTGTTGGCAATTTCTCTCTGTTTCATTTTCTTGCAATTCTATACCTAAAGATAAGTACTTGAATAAAAATGTCTGTAATGTGTATTTGATTTTTTATTTATTTTAAGGATATGAATGGAGAACGAGGATGTCTCTAAGAATAAAAAAGTAGTAAAGATAGCATCAGGGTTTATTTATTCTAGATTTAATTTCAGCTATCTGAAAACAGAAAAAAGAACAGCATCGCTAGTGAATGAATTTAGCGGCTAGCTGTGTGAATCAATTGCCATACCACACTGATTTGTAGCTTTATTCTAGAAAGAGGAAAAGATTTGACCTTGACAAGAAAATTCCAGTTACATTAAATTCTTGCCTCCAATGCAGTATGAAGTGAACATTTTTCTGTTTCTGAAGCCATTCGTGACACTTCCTTAGATGTCTTTTGAAGTTGAAAATCTATTCACAAATCACAAACTCCTAAGTGATGAAAATACAAAAAAAAAATTAAGGGTGGAGGTAAGGATCTGATCTAAATTTTAATCATTGAGTGCAATGGGATTTGGCTCAGGTCCTACAAAGAATAATTAATGGCATTAGTGTAAAGGGACTGAAAATGAGAAGTGACTCATTAATGAATACATGTATTCATAGAAGGACAATGCTTGCAGAAGAGAAGAGACTTTGTGTCTTAAATTATTGAAAATGTCATTTAACGACATACTGAAAATTGCGATAAACAAGCCCTAGCTGTAAGATCAGACAATTAGAGCACTTATGGAGCAGAATCATCTTAAATTTCTAAAATTTATTCTAGGTGATACTCTGTATTTACTGGACATGATTCCCATGCTGATTTTGTGAATTCAAATACTATTCTGGAGTTGCAATCTCCCTCATAGTTGACAAATTGCTAGTAATGCTCAGTAGAGCTCTCAAAGAAACAGCTTTTTGTCTGGATTATGAGACATGGTGAATATATGGAAGCATGTGAAGACTTTGAACGAAATACGTGATTCTTATGTTCAGCAAGTCAACAGAAAATATGATGCATGAGACAGGTGTTATTGGGTTGCTACTGTGCTATCTAAAGAAATTTGTATTGGTCTATGTGACAAAGAACACAAGGCACAAAGTGACTGAAATGAAATTTATATTTTTCGACAAGTGATGACGTTTTTCTAATATTTAGTTTCTTGCATGATTCAAACTAGAAATGTTGATTCTTGAGCAATAAGAAGTGATGAAATACTACTGAGGGAAACTATTCCTATTTTATTGTTTCTCTTCTGTTTTTCAAATCAGGTTCAAGAATGATGGGATATCATGGAAAAAAAAATGTACTCATGATCTTGCTAATTTGGAAAAGAAATTACTATATTATCCCACTAGCTAAACTATAGGATATTTTTATTGCTTTCAGATTAGTGTGGATAAAGATTTTTTTTATATTGTAGCTGGTGAAAGGAAGGACTGATAAATGTGATAGCTACCAAGAACCTCTGTGAAGCAGTGATGCAATTAGCTAACTGGTAGCTGAGCTACTTGAATTCTGCATACCTGGTTGTGTTTGCAAAAGTGTTCTTGTACGATGCATCTGTCTGCAAAAACGATGTGAACAGGAGATCTTAACACCCAGTGTGGGTTGTACTTTAATTAATAAAAGCTCTGTGACTTTTTCAGTGCTCTTTTTTCTCTCTTTTTTCCTTCCCTCCAAAGAAAGGCATGGACCTTTCTGAGTAGATCACAGCCTTTGTGTACCGGTACAGTGTTTTTATATAAATACAGAAGTATGTTGGTTTCTATTTTTAGAAGTCTGACCCCTTAAAAATTCATCTTTCTGCCGAATTTGCAGTAGATATGGTGAAGTAGCGTTTTGTATTTACTTTTTTAATCACCGTTGGTGTCAGATTTGTGCCAATAGTGCTAAATTTCCTGAATGGATGCTGCAGTTTCTCATTCAGTGCTTTTGTTGACAAACTTTACTGCTGTTATAAATGGTGATTATATGTTGTGTCGTCTCACCACCTGGAGCATATTATTTTTTGTTCAAGGTCATTAGACTTTAGTTCAGCAAATTAAGCATCAGGCCTTTTTATTTATTTCCTTGATGGAAATTACATTAAGTTAGCTGTTACTGAAGCCTCCATTTTTTACCATCTTGGAAAGGATTGTCAAAATGCACATTCATTCTTTGTGTGATTGCGTGCCGCCAACCCTCCAGTTTTGAACCGTAGGGCATACGCACATGCAAAAATGCCCTTCACTTACCCTGCTTTAACCATACATCCCCCTTGCTCTCACCTGTCCAGTAATGAATTATTCACTTTGTTCAGTTGCAGCCATGTTCCGTGTTGCCATTGCTCCTCTTCTCCTAGTTGATCTAACTCTTTAAATGTAACTGTGTCTCTCATTCACTTAGTCTCTTTATTCCTAATGGATTTTTCCTTCTATTTCTTCAATGTTTAGCGTTGATATCTGTCTATCTTTTCCTAGAATTGGGGTTTGTGTGTACATCTCCTAGGACTGAGAGTTCATTCCGCTCAGACAAACTTCAGAGTAGGTGTTTTTTTTGCCTCAGGGTAGCTTGCTTTCTGCACAAAAGCTGAATTTACAGATAACTTCAAGCCCTGACTGGAGAGAGGGTGTGCTACTTTTTTGTATAGAAGGTTCCCTTGGAGGGAGCATGTGATTTTCTTTTCCATCGGAAATAAGACCTCAGCCTGGTCAGCTGATTCAGCCATCACCTGGATCCCAGCTCCCAGCATCTCAGAAGTTGCCTGTTGGCAACCTGTCACCACAGAGGTTTCTCTCTCTGAATGAACGGGGCTTGTCAGTGGCACATACACCTGTTCAGCTCAGTCAAGTCAGTGAATTTTTCTGTTCTTTCCCTCACCTCTCAACACTTTGGTATCTGTGAAGTCTTATTAAGGTATTACTTGCTGTTTGGAGGTTCTGTGCACCAGAGGTTTCTGAAATTGTTTCTTACAATCTTTAACTGAGCAAAACACTGGCCATTTGTTCAGTTACAGCTTTCTGTGAAAATAGTTTTTTTCTGAGAGCTGTTACCTCATCTGGGAGAGCAGAACACATCCAGGCCTGGATGGCTAATTCTTCTTACACCATCGTTTTTCAGACAGGGTGTTTTTTTCTTATGTAAAGACACATTATATGCCTCTCATAAAGATAACATCTGAATTTCACTTGAATCAGAAAGTTTATCTGCTTATTTTTCTAGAATTCCCACATTCAAGGACGATGCATCTCTGATACTTGGATGCTGAGAAAGTGGTATTGGTTTACTCAATCCAAGTCCTTCATGTATTCCTTAACATAGCTGTGCTTTCAGTACAATCTACCCATCCTGCTGTAAGAAAATCACTCTGGTGGGCTTTGCCATAGCTCTGACATTACAGGAGGCTCCTGAAACGAGAACAACAAAAAAATGGATCGATTGTGTTTTGGGTCCATAGGGGAGCCACAGGAGAGGAGATCCAGGCTAAGAGCCACACGGCACCTCTTGTCTGGAGACAGGTTTCTGGAACGGGTGCGTTTAACAACGCTATAGCGAAATGCCAGCTGCGTGGAAGAAGGAAATATATGTGGATGGTGACTCGGAGGTGGAAAAGAATGTTACTGACAGCAAGCGAAGTTCAGTTCTCACCTGCCATTAATTTATTATTAACTATTAGCTGTCAGGAGCAGAATCTGAGTTAGTTAACATCTCGTCAGTAAGAGGTGGTTTGTGGTCCTGTGAGTCTGAACTGCTGGGTCAGTGCTCCCAGTGTCTAGGCTTTTCTACTGAAAGACACCCTCTCTTTCCTTTGTTTTGTAAGCAGGACTTGCTTAGCAAATGGAGGAAATTCTGAGTTTGTGACTGCTGCTTGCATTTAGGTATGAGATAGATGCTGCTGATACTGCTGAGAACAAAGCTGTGTGCATCTCCAATAAGAAGATCCTGGGTATCTGAAGGATTTACTGATGGTGTTGTGCCCAGTACCTAATACATGGATTTAAATGCCTAATTGCTTAGTATTAGGCTCCAAAAATTTGTGAAGTTCTCTGTTTCTTTAAATGTGCTTTGTAATACTTGATAATCCTATATGAGTATATATCTACATTCTTGAATTTGCAGCTTTAAAATCTTAAGAAAATTAATGTCTGCATGTAAAAGCTTTCTGTATTAAACCCATTTATGTTTGACTTTCAAAATACTAGGTGAATTACTTGTTCTGATAAGCTAGCTAAAGCAACTTGATGTCGTCATTCTTGAATGGCTTTTTATTAGGAAAGACCACTTACATGCTTGCCTTTTTTTCTTTTTTTAATTTTCCCACAGCTGGAAGCCCACCTATGTAATTCTTAGCAAGCATGAAGAATATTTGAAAAATGAACTTGAAGCTTTACAAGAAGCTACAGAAAAGGAGAGGTATCTGATTATGTGAACTGAGGTTTCTGGCAATAGTACTTACTAACCTATCTAAACTAATCATCAAAGATCATACAGTCTGTGTCAAAAAGTTATACTTTTTATATACTTTTCAGGATAATATGACTGAGTAATTAAAATAATTTTTTGTTTCCATTATTATGAGGTCATAAGTTATTTTGTAGTTACTAGTGGAATAGGAAAAGATATGCCTTCTTCAAATTCAATTGCTTCTCAAATGCTACTTTGTCTTTTTCTGAATGTTGTTCAATTGCCTACAATTTCAAGAAAAGCCCAAGAAATAAAGGCATGGATGTTTCAGGTTTTGCAGAAATATGGAATACTAGAACGTATTTACAAAAGCATACATAAGTTCTATCTATGAATGATTTTTTTGCCATTATTATGACATGTCTTCATGTATACTATGTAGTTTCAGATACTCAGCTTTGGGAAGGCTTACTTGTAAACACATAGGTTTTATATTTTTTTCAGAAGCATCACTTAATTGACCCTAAGCCTTTAAATTCATATATGGACTAAGTAAAATAACAACTAGAAGCATTCGGATAATCTCACCTATTTGTGAATATGAATTGCATATGATTATTAGAAAAAACAAATCGAGTTTTTGTATACCACTGTATAGTCTTCAAACTAACCACAAAGCATGCAAGTTGAGCATTAAATCCTGAAGAACAGGACAAGTAGCTCAGGAAAGCCTGGTCTAAAATAATTTTAAGACTAGCTGAGGGTCAGATTCTAGTTAGTATTAATTGCACATTCAATTTTGTTTGGCATTTTGGTTGTTTCAACTTCATTAATTAGATTCTGCATTTTGAAGAAATTATTAGTTGTGCAGTGTAGCTGCCTACATTTGAGAGAATGAAGATTTTCACTGAGATGTCCCAACTGACGTGTGCCAAGTTAACCCTCTTAAGTTCTCTTTAACACTTGGGTAAAACTGATCTTAATTTTCATGAAGGTTTTTCACCTTTACTGATGTTTGTGAAGGGCAAGAGGTTGGTTAGCCTGTAGTGAAAACAATCACAGCAGACCCATCTAGATATCTAACCACCACTTTAGAGCTATAACTTTAGGTAATTTAAAATGTTGGGTTTCATTCTTTGTAAGTGTTTCTTTTTGCCAGTTGTCCAAGACAACAGCAACAGCATGCTTGATAGTCTTTAATTAACTTAGTGAGTAGCTTATCTGTCTTCTTCCTGTTCAGAGCTCTATATTTGGTGAAAAATAAGGCTAAATTGGCTTTCTATGAGTATATGATTAAGCCATTTTGGCTTTTACTAATGTGAGCTGACAAGCCGAAGAAGCATTACTTTTAAATTGCTTCTTTAGATAACTAGTTTCAATGCCAACATGAAAGTGTTTGACCTGTTTTACTGAGCTTAATTAAGACATTATGACTAGAAATCCTAAACCAAATTTAATTCATGTGTTTTAAAAAGGTAGTCTCTAAAATAGAGTCCTTCTGTACCGAAGCATTTGATCATTTATTCAAATCAGCAAGATGTGCATCCAGCAAATTCTAAATATTTAAATTAGGAAGAAAAATAAGTGCATTTAGAACTTCATGCACTGAACATGCTTTTTAGCGTAGCATTTGGAGGCACTGAGGACATACTGCTTTAGAAGAGAAGATATTTTTAAAAAGATGGGCAGATCATTTTGTGTTTAGTTAGTTACTTATTGTGGAGGCTTTAAAAATGTTCCACACTTTTCATTGCTATTGGTTTCAAGAACAGATAAGAACGCTTATATGAACTGGAAGGTCATCCTGAAAATAAGTGATATGAAGAAGGAAAGTGGAATAAATAGCTATCTGGGTAATGTTCCGGGGATTTGTGGGTGCTGTCCTTTCCCACTGTCATTAGAATAAAACTTTTTCTAATGACTTTAGTGTGAACCATGCTGAATTCTAAATAGCCTGTGTTTAACTGCCTGAACTGGAGCATGTGACTTACTTAGGAAAAATATTAAAAATAGTGACAGTTTCTCAGGCCTACTGTAGTACTATTACTAATTACTATTACTATTACTACACTGTACATAGCCATAAAAATTAATCTGCGGAAAATATATTCTGGGAAAAGAATATAAACTTTGCAGAATATTTTCAGATGCTTGAAATGTGCCTGCCAAGACAGATTATTTTGCTTATTTATGTTTTTAAATTTTATATGTAATGCATTCTTAATTTTATACCAGCAAATTTCTTTGTTGCTCAGTTATCGTTTGTAGCTTCTATTAAATTAAATAGAACTGAAAATTTTCCATCTTTCAAACCTGGCAAATTTTGTACAGTGTTCGCATATATTCAGTAAATCAAGAAACCTAGACTCCTGAGACCATCCATGTAGAAGACCAAATAGTTTAATGTAATTTTCTGTATGAAGTTTGGAAGGGTAAGTTCCTTGGTTTCTCAGTGTTGATCTACAACTTCTTAACCCTAAAGAGGTATTTCAAATTCAGTCATTTTAAGGGGAACTAGTGCCTGGAGGCCTGGAGTGTAGTTTTAGTTGAAAGTTAAGATTTTTTTTTTTTTTTGTAAGAGCAGAAGCTTTTACTATTGAATTTGGCCACAAATTTTTGTCTCTTCCATTGCCTGGACTAGCCAGCAGCCAGCCAGAAGTGTCTGCCTTGCAGTCATGCTGTGTTTAAATGATTAATGGCAGTTTGAGATAAAATATATCCTTTAAAGAGGAATACTGCATGGTTCACAAGCAGTGAGAGCTGTTCCTTAAAGTAGGCTTTACTCGTGGTGCAGGTAAGCAGGTCAGGCTCTGGCTTTAGTTGCTGTTACGTGCCATAATGCATTTCATAGAAGAATTTCTCGTTAATCTACAGGTGTATTAATAAGTGATTATTATAAAATTTCTCACTATTGTTCACATAATCATTTCCTGGGGAACAACATTTCCTTCAGCTTCTGTGATTTTATACTGGCATGTTCTAGTATCAAGCAACTTTGTGTAGTATTTCTTTCTCAGGTAAATGAGTCTGTGTTAATGGTACATGCTGGATGTATGCAGCTGTGATATCTCTTTATAAACATGTGCCATCTGCAGAAATGCTTACCATCAAACTCTTATTATGTATTTTGCATGTGCCTAAATTTATCTTTCTTTCAGCAATAAAGGGCATAGAATATCAACATTTGAAAAAAATTACTTCTTTTATTTTAAGCAGTTATTAAGCTTTTTGCTTTCAAATGTAGAGACAAATATAATTACTGGGCACTGGTTGCTATTATTAACAATTTTAAAAATTATTAATAGTTAACTCTTGTCTGCGTGGGAAGTAGAGACTTCCTGCAGGTCTATACTTACATTACCTGTGTGCGACATCAGGAACCAGAACCAGTTCCCTGATTGCATTCGGCTTTCCCGAAAGATACTACTTTTGTAGTGGAAATTAGCTGTAATAAAAGTTGTGCCTGGTAGCATTATTGGTGTGATAAAAGACTCTTCCCCCAATGAGACAGGTGAATATTTGATCAGTCATTAGCCATCTATCCTGTAAATTCCTTGCCTGAGAAAACCTGAAAAGGAACTCATTTCCGATGTAGTCACTGTCATTAATTTAACACAAGAGGGTAGCTGTAATATAGCACTTTTTTCCCTCTTCTTTCCAAACAGAGTATTGATCAATTTTCAACTTTATGTGATGAGTTACATCCTGTTACTTGCTATGGTATTTGTTTGCTTTTATAGTATATTTTTTTTTGTTTCAGAAGCCCTTTTAAAGTTTTTTAAATGTCGTGTGCATGACTTGGTGCTACCTGCTTTAAGAATTTGTAGCTACGTACTCACATGATGTCAGCACAATTATATTAGCGTAACATTAATTTAAAGGGCAGTCCTACAAGAAGCTGAGCATTCTGGCTCTTTGCCAATTAAGCGTTTTAAGTGTTTGCTTAACCTGAAACGTGAATAGTCCTATTGTTTTTAGTGTCTTAATGTATGTGTATTTCAGGCTTCCCTCAGTCCCACACAGATTGCTCAGCATCTCCTTGGAGGCAGCTCTTAGTCCGGTGACACGTCAGGCAGCTCCAAATGTGGGCAGTTAGGCTAAATTCTCTTTTATAAGTTTGATACAGATCCACCAAAACCAGTGGGGTTGTGTCAGTATACAGGAACACTGAATTTGGCCTGCAGTGCCTTTCCTGATAATTACATGGGGGAAAAAACCCAGTTGTCATCTGCCAGGCTGCCTTTGAGTATGGAACGATCTACATCCCTGTCAGAACAATGAGGTTTGACTTTTTTTTTATGTCATGAGTGTGTTCTATGTTACACACAGCATAGACTTCCAAGAAAGTAGCTGGAAGATAAATGATAGAGCCAAATATTATTGTATTAAATATAATCTGACTTTTTTTCTAGGTTGGCAGCATAAAATTGAGCTGATGCTATAAATTAATACTTTTTTACCCCCTTATAAACAGTGATTTCATATGAAAAAAAAATTACATGTATTTTTATAGGAAAATGTATCAGGATTACATCACCCAGTATAAAGAGGTTTTGAAGCAACACCGTGAAAAATATGCAGAAACTGCTCTTGCACAGGAGTATTACAAAAAAAAGAAAGAACTTGAAGAAATCCGAAGCAGAGTTTTGAAACTGTCTGAAAAATATAAGTTGAAAGAAGATGCTTGCGTGGATATTCTGGGTACTACTATTACCAATGCTTTTACAGTAGAGCCCCTTGGTAGTGTGTGACACATTGAAATTGCTGTGCAGAAATCATCTAATTTATTTTTCACAGCTTCTCGTAAGCTGATAAAAAGGTCTCCTTTTTGTTACACCATTTTTAGGAAAAAATCTGTAGTAAACTGAGACTTTGACCAAGAATTTAGTGCATATATATTAATATTCCTTCCTCTCACCATTGAAGGTAATGGGGAGAGGTTTGCCATTGGGTTTCTTGGGATATAAAGTTCTAAAACTACTTTAGAACTAGCCTCTCAAAATTTTAAATTTATTTTTCATATATTTTCAGTGCTGTTCTTAATGATATTACTGTCATACTGCTGTTTCTGTTATGTGCACTAAGTGAAGATAAGTGCTCCTGATGTATTGATTTATCTTGTATTTGTAAAGAAAATTTGATTTGTGAATGAATGATCTGAAATTAAATTTTATTTCTGCAGAGCCTGTTCCTTTTAAATCCCTGAATGACTGGGCTTTACATATGTATCCTTGATTTTTAGTGTTTATGCAGTTGACAGGGAAGGAAGTTTATATTTACCTTTTACAACTTTCTCTTAGAAAGTGTACCTATTATTTATATATTTATGTTCAGAGTGGCAGCATTAGCATTCTCTGTGAGAAAGCTGAAGGTTGAGTAATGCCCTTCAGTATAAATTTATGGGAGAATTTTGACGAAAGAAAATAAAACTCACTTAAGGACATAGCCGTCAAAATGCTTCGTTAAGGAGGAGAAGCCTAATTAAAGTTAGATTTGAAATACGTCTGGGAAATGTAGGTTTGTCTGAGTTTTCTGCACCTGTGGCAGAAAATAAGATGTTGCGCTTGTGGCATAGAGGACTCAGGGATCTGATAGCATCGCTTGCTTGAAAAAAGTAACGTTGAAGTCTGTATTCCATAACATGAAAGTGCTTCTTCGAGGAAAAAAACACAGGAAATGTTAAAGCTCGCAGCGGATGCCATGCAAGAGTCCGTTGAACTACAAAAAGAAGCAGAAGAATTAGAAATGAAAATTAATTATGTCAGAAAGGTAACTATTTTATTTTATATAGAATCATAGAATCATTCAGATTGGAAAAGAGCTTTAAGATCATTGAGTCCAACCATATAAACACATTTTATAAATGTTGTTATATATACCGCCGTTATATTTCCTGACACATGAAAAAGTAGCGTATTTTCAAGCACGTATTAATAATTATGTTTCTATAACATCACATACGTTTTCTTAAAGAAGAGTGATCCATGACTGTAAAGTCTCCTACAGCTTACTTTCCTTCGACCTCAGTTTACACCATAATTTCTGTCAAGGCACAGTGTCATGGTGACTTTCACACGAGCTCAAGAGGGCTAGAGAATACAAAATAGAGCGGGACCATTCCTCAGTGAGCCCCAGGGCTCGAGTATACAGCTTTCCCAGGTCCTGCTGGTTTTTAATGTTCTGTTAATGTGTTTAACTAAATATACTTTACAATAAGAGGTATGTAAATTGGTTTTCTTTTTTTTTTCCTCCCAACTAAGTGTGGGTAAATAATACTCAGAGGTAAAAGTGGCTGATGTTAATTGGGGGATTAGCACAGTTCCACTGACTAGAAGCAGTACTGGTTCCAAAGGGATGGTCTTCTAAAAAAAGGATTTTGTCAGAACAACCTTTTGACCCAGTCCTCTGCTGGGAGGCCAAGGGTGTCTCCTAAGCCTGAGTAGCCCAGAAGACCAATCCTGTAAAGAATTTGGGAGGTTTTTAAAGTACTGCATCCACACATTTCCACCTCTCTGGACCAGATACCAAGGACTTCACTTACTGCCCTGTCAGCCGGGTCCACTTCAGCCAGCCTTGTGCTGACAGACCCATGTTGTGCACAGATCGTGTTTTCTATTTATATTTTGTGGTGCTGTTTGATGCTCATAGTTACAGGCTAAAAGTCCTAATGTGGTATGTGCTGCATGAGCATACAATAAGAAGGGATGTGATGAATTTATTTATGACTGTGAAGGAGACTGTCTAAGGGGCTCCTTGTTCTGAATAGATACATAGAGTCTGTGCTCAGAAACTTCTGCGTTTATTTCAGTTGTTACAGTTGGCCTAACAAAAAATATTGCCTCTCTTTAACCTTATTCTGTTTATTTCTTCAGACCATCTTGGTCTACTGTGAAATGATTCATGAGCTGCAGCACATAGCTATAATTTTGCAATTTTTAAAAATTTTTATTTGCTCTTTATCATTTAAGACATTTGAAGAGGCTACAGAAGATCAGAATAATTCGGAAATGATTGAAGGAAAAAATCAGAAATGCCTGGAGAAGCCAAAGGAGTTTAAAGAAAGGTACACTTAAGAATTATTTCTTTACTTTGCTTGCGCCTAGAGTACTCCCTCAGCAATTGCACAAAGACTGTGACAAAACACAAATCATTGCTAAATAATGACTGGCAAGTTTCTCTAATCCTGGTCATGTGATTTAATTATGTATTTTTAAAAGTTTTCTATGTCTTGGGGTTAAGAAGGTGATAAATTTTGATTTGTGAAAGCTAAATGCATTTGGAAGCAAGACTATTTGAAAGTTGTAGAAACCTTTGCTCCTCACAGCTACTGCTGACAGATCTATGTGAATAGTTTTATGAGTTTCGAATACAACTACAGTGACTGTGAAGTCAGAGATAAAAACCATTTATTCTACTAAAGGCATACATGGGGGAAAAAGAGTCAAGAGTTCCACGTTATTTATCTTCATCTCTGAACTACTTAAGAAATTTAAGTCTTAATTTATTTCTTAAAAACAAGCATGAGTGAAAGTTTCATAGTCAGGATTAATGGCTTAGTAAATTAGTCTGTGGTCATTTACAACTGGGACTCACTTTAATTCGAGCTCGATTACAATGATTGAAAATAACCATCAGGACTACCTCGCAGTTGCCTGGAGTCCTTGTGAATTTTGAACTATCACCCTTAGAGCTGATACCTTTAGACCAAAATCCATTTTAAACTGAGCATAGGTCCAAAACACTTTGTCTATGTGATTTTACATTGTGTTGTGCTTGAAAAAGAAGATTTTTAGGGTTTTGGTTAGGGATTTGGTGGACTATATCTATAGAAATGTGTAGTTTTAATCATTCCGAAGATCCTTTCCATCAGGACATTTTAGGACTTTAATATCTTCTTACAGTCCTATCAAATGAATTTTTTTTTTGTAGTTTAAACCTTTTCACCCATTCTTCCTTCTTATGTAAGCTTTTTGTAATTGGCAAAACCTCAAAAACTTAGGGAAGCAAGAAATCCACTCAGTTTTAATACTAGGTTAAAATAAGAGGGAAACACTCCCTTTTGACTTTTCAAAGAAACCCACATATGTTCAGCGTGCAGAAAGCAAAATGCCAATTAAAGACCTATTAGAGCCCTCTGCTCTGCACATGGAGGCGTAAGAAGGACTTGGTTGGGCTCCTCATAGAAAGGAATTTGTAGGGTGCGTTGCTACAGCAGCCGTTGGTACGCCTGCCTCCCTGCCATGGAGCCTTCAGGTGCCTCTGCCTTCACCTGAAGTTGTGTGAAGTTGTGGATTGCATCATGGTTATAAGATGTTGTAAATATCTCCGAATCCACATCGCCTTTTCATCTCCACAGATGCATTTACGTAATATAGCGTATTGTATCAGACCATAAACTGGTTATTAATTAATATGTTTTTCCTAAGGTAAAGTTTAAACTTATTTAAAATAATAAAGTCACAGAATTATAGAATCCTTTAGGTTGGAAATGACCTTTAGGATCATCGAGTCCAACTGTTAACCCAGCACTGCTGGGTCCACCACTAAACCACTTCGCTTAGCATCACGTCTACATGTCTTTTAAATGCCAAAGATACTCATAATACAAAGCCTTGCATGAAATGGCATAAAAATTGTTTTTAAAGATCTCCATTTGGCAGTAGTTTATTAAAAAAAAGGCTTCACCAGAAAGCATAGAAACATCTGATTAAGTAACTATGGATGCTAAAAATAGGTGTATTACAAATCTGTAATTATAAACTCTCTGAAAAAAAGTAACAATCAGAGAATCAGAGAATCATAGAATGGTTTGGATTGGAAGGGACCTTAAAGATCATCTGGTTCCAAACCACCCTGCCATGGGCAGGGACACCTGCCACAAGACCAAATTCCTCAAAGCCCCGTCCAACCTGGCCTTGAACACTTCCAGGGAGGGGGCATCCACTCCTTAAATAAAGTGCCGACTCAGGGCAATGTACAAAAACAGCACAGCAGAATGTGGCTGCCAAAGGCAGTAGTCTCTAGTGAGCTCTTCTGAAATCACAACAAGGTTACTACGAAGCAAAGAGAACTTCGTGAAGAAAAAGGAGCTGTCTTCATCTTCTGCCACAAAAGAAGAAGAGGGGAAAAAGAGTTGCATTGTGGATCTCCGTGAATTGATGCAGATCAGCGTGAAAACAAACCAGCAGCACCAAGGGAAAGAACTAAACAGAGCAATGAGCGCACTGAGCACAACAATGCACAAATTAATACCCATGAAATGCTTTAGAAGGCTACAAGACAAGAAACCAACTTGCAAGTTAATGAATAGGTGCTGATATATATGTTCTCCTTTGGGCAGGAGGGTGACAATGGTAACTGTTCTTTAAAAGGCCTGGAACACTTCAGTTTGGATCACATACTGCAGGCCAGCTAGGTGTTGATTAGGCTGACTGCAAAACAGATTCCTCTTCTCATACCAGCCGTTTTCTCTGATGAGTGGCCTTTGTAGTTCACCAGTTATCTAGACAAGTATCGTAGTTAAAATTTCCAAAGCAGGAGTTCTTATCAGTCACCAAATTGGACTCAACTCTTTTGAAGACGTGGTCTTGATTTCCCAGGTAGAGATTGTATTTATTACATTGAAAGGTTGATGTCTTGAACTGTGCTTTGGCGTATACCATGTTCATCCTTTCTGCTTTTATCAAATGTTTGATGGAGCTTTATTTACATTATTCTGTAATTCTGTGGGATTTTGTTTTGTTTTTGGCCCCCCCCCCCATTTGATTACATATTAATTCCACCTCTGAATAGCTGAAGTCTCTTATGTTCCAAGTGAGAGATTTTTGCTAGAACTTCTTGTAAAGGATATTCCGTGGTGGATTATTGCAGTTCTTCCAGTCTCTTTGCATTACAAGTGGTGAGATTTTACTGATCAAAGAAAAAAACTTGGTGATGTAGTTCTTGGAAGAATACTTGTAAAGCTGTTTCTGGACCTTTAAATATAAACCTATATGAGGAGTTAACCCTGTGCTGACCACAACCTCATAGGCAGTTATTAGTTACTGATAATTATGGCAGCTAATTATTAAAAGTCCTCCTACCAAAAGGCTTCAGTAGAGACCTGGTAAATACCAGGAAGCAAGTGCAATTCTTCATGTATGTGATCAAATACACTTGATTCCTGTAGTGAAGATAAAGTCATATTAAACTTTGGGTTTGCTTCTGCTACAAAGGAAAAAACTGCCACTAAGGAAATGGGATTTTATTTTAACTTGAGAATACCTGTATCTTTCTTGGCACTTTAGTAAAAAAAAATGTTACCTCTTTCACAATATGGATCCTGATAAAGATTTTTTATCTGCTCAGATGTCTACTAACAATGAAATAGAGAAAGAAAACGAACGATCTTCCCTGTTGTTACTGCAATTTGGACTAGTTTGAGCTTTAGTATGCAGTTTGATTTTTCTTTCAATGGTTATTAATTATGTCAGAGAAAATGCATGCAGCGTTTTTTTTTGGTAGTGTTTTTGGGGAGAGAAGGGAGCAGGTGTATTTTATATGCATGAAGTTTAACTGCAGGCTCTTTGGAAGGTTTCATTGCTTAAAAAAAATCACAGAATCACAGAATGCATTGGATTGGAAGGGATTGTAAAGGTCAAATGCCTGTCTTAAGATCTTCTGAGTCCTGTAACTCTGCCATCAATACATTGAGTAGATATGCATTTTAAAAGAATGCTTTGCTTCATGAACAGTGAGTTTTCAGAAATACGGAGTTATCTGCTAGGCTCTGCAGAAGCACAAGGAAACGGACTCCAGGATTTGGCATTCTAAGTTCTGTAAAAAAAAAAAGGTTTATGGCAATCTAACTCCTGACTTCAACAGCAGCAGCCTGTTCAATTCCTTTTTGAGTGACAGTTGTGGTGAAATGGCCAAATAAGCCATTTTGAACAAAGTGAAGCAGTTTTAGCCTGGATTCTGTGCTTAGCTCCGGTTTTATTTCTCCTTGGTTTTGTACTCTCTGCATCTAAATTTAAAGATACACATCTTACTTCCTCTACTCCTCATTCTAGACAGAGATTATATCTCTAATTACTGTAACTGAAAGAAATACAGCGTAAAAAAAATCTTGCAATATTCTTGTTTGTAGTTTTTTTGCGATTTGTTTTTTTCTTTTTGATTGATGTATAAGATATCATATGATTTATCTAGTTTGTTGGGTCTCAGTCCAGCAGAGCACGGCTTCACAGGTGAAGATAGTCCTTCTCATCAGAGTTATTGGTCTTGAGGTGCATTCACGTTTTTATGTGATCGCAGTTGTGCATGTACATTAGCTTAATGTGTTGTTAGGTCCATGTATCTTAACTAAGGCTTCTAATTTGATGTATTCTTTTTAGTAGTGTTGCTAATTTTACTCCAAACTACCTTGTAAAGTGCGTCCTACATTTTATCATATTTTTCTTTATGGAAAATTTCAAGAAGAAAAAGACTGACTCAGTTCTTCATTTGTTCTGAATAGCATTGTTTAGTCAGCTATAAAACAGATGTTGTAGCTAGAAGCACAGAAGCCTAAGCAGAAATGCCAAAGAGAAAATAAAATAGAACTCATTATTTTTTAAAAATGGTAAATGTTCTTGTGCCAAATAGCCACTTTACCCTACATTGTTCTGCTAACCTTTGTCTTTCTACACTGTAAAAGGCTATTTACCCTGCACGGATAATTATCCCACAAGTGAAAACACTTGCTGCAGTTTTCTCTTTTATGCGTGTATAGTGTGAGTATTCTAGACAATCTCAGAAAAGTGTTCTTGAATGTGAAAATGTGATTTCAGAGCTACAATAGCGATGTGCTTTGATTAAAGAGTAAAACTCCACGCATAATACTTTTCTTTGATACTGACAAAATTTAAGGCAGCAATGTTCTTATGATTGGCTTATTGGTACTTTATGTCTTTTTCTTTCAGTGATACTCTGTCTCATATTTAAATAAAACTTCAATTTTTATCAGCTGTTGGAGCTGAAAGAAGGTGTCCCTGGCAGCTTGCATCTCCCTTGAGCACTCCACTTATTTGAAGCAGTTATGTTTTATGATTTCCTTTCTTTTGGAATTGTTAACTTTTTTTTTAAAATTTTTTTAGGATATTTGAAGAGAGTGAACATCCAACTTTGCTAAATGAGAAACATCAACTGTATAAACCGTTATATGTCCCATGCATTCCTCGGAAATTAGTCCAGTCTGTACAGAGTATTAGATTTTCCAGGCAACGACCAGAAGCAGGTGCAATGTGGTTAATGATCTTTCTGTGAGGATTTTGGATTATTTCTGTGTAAATGAATGGAAGCCATGATAACAAATCTAGTGAACTGCTCCTGCTGTGATAACAGAAGCCAGGCTTTTAGTGGAAGTTGGGTACTTACCTGTGTTTATGTTCTGAAAAATCTTCTGTGTCTGATTTCTCTCTTACCAGTGCAACCAGTGAAATAACATGGCAGGTATACCTGACGCATGATGTCAGAAAAATCTGAAACATAACTTTAGCACTCTTTGCATAAATGCAGTAAATATTAACTGTTATTTACAGTAAATTGATTGATGCTCTCATACTTTTTGATACTTCTAGCTTCCTGTTAACAGGAAAATTTATAACCTTTGTTTGCAAGTTCAGTTTAACAGTGCTGTGTTTTGGATACTTAATCTTCTTGACAATATTAAGTAATATTTGTTAATTTAGAGAGAGAAGAAACAGAAAAACCTGTGGAGCTTTCAGTGGCCACTAGCAGCTCCTTCGGCCTTGCAGAAAATTCGTCACAGGTATGCAGCTCTCCCAGTGGTGAAAACACGACATTATATAATCTGTTTTGTGTGTTTGTTTAAATTTAAAACACTTCAGGTACCTAGTGCTACCGTATCTTACATAAAACTTGCTAACACTGTAATCAGGATGACAGTCTCGGTAATCTGCCATTACTTGGTAATGATAACAAAAATCTTTCTTTGGTGCCATTTCTAATTCAGCTGAGAATATGTATGTTCTTAGAAAGTCCAACTGGTGGTCATAGTAAGCGTTCTAAGGCCAACCTTGCGGTGAAGCATCTGTCCAATTAATTTTGTATAATGGTTTTAAAAATTTAGAGATAACCTGAATAGATTCACTTTGTTGTGTGTAGCAAATTTCTGGAATTCTAAAGGAGGAATTTGACCTATTACTGATTAGTTGTCAGCCATTTGCTCCGTGATGAAGGATTTCATAAAGGACTAAACGTTCAGCGTGCTGTACAGGGATGCCTGCAGTTAACAGCTCAGTTTTGAGGTTTAACCAGAAACAAAAATCTAGACTGACAGGAGTATCATTGCTTTGTACACTTGAGTTCACAACTACATTTTCCATCTTTCACCTTTAAACAAATAGTTCCTGTGGCACTTTTTTGGAAAAGTGAAGTGTGTTGCAGCTCCATCTCTTCGGTATACAGACACAGTCAAGAAACAAGTGGGAGGATCAACTGACACAGTTATGAAAACCATTAATAAAACTTCAGTAAGAGCGAGAATATTTGTAAGACCAATAGATTACTGAAGTCTAAAAGCAATACTCAGATATAGTAAGGCCATAGGAGATTAAATAGTTTGGAACCGTGTTCACTGTGCAGAAGCTTGGGCAAGTTTCTATACCAAGACTTTACTTTGTAAGGGACATCTCACTGGAACTATTTGAAACCAGATTTTTATGAGCAACAGTGGAACAAGACCAGAAGAAATTTCAAGAAAATCTGATTTGTGACTGGCTGGGGGAGTTGGACATGATGAGGATGATGGAAGAGCCGTTGCCAGGGTGATCCAGAGATGAGGATGGGAGTCTGGGGCTTAGAATTACATTTAGAGAGTAGTGGGAAGTCAAGGCTAAGGGAACTTGAAGAAAGGGTGAGTGCAACAAGGAAAAGAAGATGGAGCCTGAAGACAAATAAGACTGGAAGAAAGAAAGTTGCTATGCTTCAGGAAACGACAAAAGCCGAGTGGCGGATTCTGCGTAACCAGCCCTTTTGTTCCCTACCCCGAACTGAAGCCATTTTAATACATTTTGCAAATTAAAACCAAATCAGAACTAGCAGCTCCCTGTGAAATAATGTGTTATCTGAAGCTGAGGCATAGATTCCTAGTGCCACCCTTCCCTTAAGGCATGAATACATGCTACATATAAAAGTTAGGGCTTCTGATCTGCTGAAAATCTGTGAGGTGGGAGTATTTCCATGCTTTCTGCAGTTTTTCAGTACACACAGGAGACATACTCAGTGATGTGTATACTCACTTCGGTCTTCAGAGGTGGTGACGGGCCTGGCTCTAGCCCCTTCTGTGTTGTCAAGCAGGAGGAACTTGGCTGCAGAAGTGGAAAACCTGGATAAAGTTTGTTTATTCTTTAACACTGTGCAATGGAAAAGTTAATTATTTGCATCTAGTTATCAGTGCTGTGAATGAGATTTTATATGAAATTACAGAAGTGGGTTTGGGTATCACGCTGTTAAAATGTAGGTATAGCAAAGGTAGGAAAAAAAAAAGTTTTAATGTTGCTTGACCCCTAAATTATTTGAATTTTCTGTTATCCTTTAGTTAGATATTGACACTTCAGGGACTAATAAACCGCAAATTGCCCAAGTTTCATCAATAGCAAGCTTACAAAACCAGATGCAATTCAGGTAACTTTTTTTTAATAGAGTAGTTTTTCATTACTGAGACTGAGGTTTATGGAAATAATCCATGTTTAAACAAATGGTAATTTTTTGTCTTTTAGATTGGTAATTCCTCCAAAGCAGACGACTTCCAATCAACAGTTTGAAAGTGAAAATGCAGTAATTGGTAAAGTACCACTGTCTTTTCTTTGATCCTGGGGTTATCTACTGTATACTGGAACACAAAATTATAAAAGAAAAAATTCTAGGGGCTAAATTTCCATTCTGGTACTAAGTGGGCTACTTTTTGTATTCCTTTTCTACCTTGATTATTTAGTTCAAACTTTGAGCATAGCAGACAGGCAGTGTTCTAAATTAATTGATTAACTGCTCAGTAATGTGGGATTCATTCTGCGTTGACTGTTGCTAATGAACCTTCCAGCATTTCTTGGAAATCCACAGTTTAGTTTCAAATTACTTGGGTAAAATGAAATCCAGTCTCAAAATGTGCCCAGAAGGCATGCAAAAATGCACAGAAAAGATGTGTAATAAATTCAGTAATTTAGGAATCTGGAAGCATTAAGATTAAGATTAAAATTATTAAAGATGAAAATTAACTTGAGAAACGCATGCAGAATGCTTATAGAAACAAAAGAGAGTAGTTACAATTCCACCTATAGTTTTTGACATCACAAGACATTGAGCTTTAAATTTTTTTTTCTAATTATACTGCCAATATAGAAGCATGTAAAAAATTATAGCCTTTTCTTTTAATAAATAAGACCTTAATTATGTATCCTGAAACAAAAGAACCTAACCCACAGTGCCTGAAACATTACACAGTCTGAAGTTCAGAGCAGAAAGGCTGATAACATTCTTCTCATTTCTCATCCTGGCTTTTGCCCAGTTCTTGAAGATACACCTCATCAATGTCATAGGAATGTGCTTTTTGTATTGTTTCCACCTGATTTCTGTTGGCTGGTATTGGCTCTCTCAGAGGGCAGCAGTCGGATTACGGATTTCTGGCAGAAAAGGACCTGGGGATTCTAATAGACAAGTGGTTGAATATGAGCCAGCAGTGTGCCCAGGTGGCCAAGAAGACGATGGGCATCCTGGCATGTATTAGAAACAGTGTGACCAGCAGGAGTAGGGAGGGGGTTGTCCCCCATTACTCGTACTGGGGAGGCCTCACCTTGAGTATTGTGTTCAGTTTTGGGCACCTCAGTGCAAGAGGGATGTCGAGGTGCTGGAGCGAGGACAGAGGAGGGCGACAAAGCTGGTGAAGGGCCTAGAAAATAAATCTTATGAAGAGCGACTGAAGGAGCTGGGACTGTTTAGTTTGAAGAAGAGGAGGCCGAGGGGAGACCTCATCACTCTCTACAACTACCTGAAAGGACATTGTAGAGAGGCTGGGGGCGGGATCTTCTCTCCTGTCCTCCGCTGGTCTCTTCTCACAGGGAATTGGTAGCAGAACTAGAGGGAGTGGCCACAAGCTGCAACAGGGTAGATTTAGGCTGGACGTTAGGAAAAATTTTTCACAGAAGGAGTAATCAGGCACTGGAATAGGCTGCCCAGGGAGGTGGTTGAGTCACCTTCCCTGAAGGTGTTTAAAGGTCATTTAGATGTAGTCTTGGGGGTTATGGTTTAGGTGTGGACTCTGTAGAGGAGGGTTATAGGTTGGACTTGATGATCCCAAGGGTCTTTTCCAACCTAAATGTTTCTGTGATTCGATTCTGTGAAACGTAGGACTCTCGGGAACAGTGGTTCGGTTTGAAGAATGTGCCAAACCACATGAAGCAGCCTCAGCCTTGCTTTAACGATAGTAAGTGGCAGAATGAGAGGTAACTCCTAGGGCCATTGCCACAGAGTGGGTTATTGTGAAAACTACAGTCAGAACCCTTCCTTACCAATAGCAATGCCAAGTTAGTAAGCCTTTCTCAAGGATTCTTTCAAAAAATGCACTTTTTGTTTACCCTTTTAAAATGCTGTTATAATACAAGCAGCTCTTTCTTTTTTGCGTAGCAAACAAAAAGGGCAAGTGCGATGGTAAAGAAGCAGATGAGCCAAAAGATTCTTCATATGTACCTGAAGTAAGCAAAGCATTTCTTGTGTTGTAGTTAATTATTTTATTTACAATAGTCAAAATATCGTGACATATTTTAATCTGTTGGCAAGAGTCAAGTCTCAGAAACTGACAGTGATTCATTATAAGGCACCCAAGAGGTGAGAAGCCAGTCAGTTCCTTCTGATTAATAATACGATGGTCATTGCTCTTGATCATGTCAGTGTTCTGTTGGTTTTTATGCTACCTTAACAACAGGCGATTTAGGATGACTACCCTATGCACATCGTAGCTTCTGTATAAATTGATACATGTCATTTCATCAGTGTAAGCTAATGAAAAATTAAAAAAAAATTAAAAGAATGTTTGCATTTGAAACTCGTTTCTCCCACAGAACTATAGTAAATAGGTATTGTGCTGGCTACAGAGTCTGGCTCTGCTGGCACTGCTTTTGCCAGAAACCTTCGCCAGAATATGAGATCAGTCTCACTGTACCATAATATTTAAGCCAGTTGTATGTACAGCTTGCACACGAAAGTGATGCCAAGATGTGGTTTAACACCAGGCAGCAGCTGAGCACAGCACAACCACTTGCTCCCTCCTCCCACAGTCCGGTAGGTGAGAGAATCAGAAGGGTAAAAGTGCAAAAAACTTGTGGCTTGAGATAAAGGCAGTTTAATAGGTATAGCAAAACCTGTGCCCACTAGCAAAAGGAATTCATTCGCTGGTCCCATCTCCAGGCACATATTTAGCCATTTCCAGGAATGTAGGGCTTCATCACATGTAAAGGTTACTTGGAAAGACACATAACTCCGAACATCCCCCCTTCCTAATGCTTTCCCACAGCTTTTGTTGCTAAGCACAACATCCCATGGTCTGGATACCCCTCTGGTGAGCTGGGGTCACCTGTCCCAGCTGTGTCCCCTCCCAGCTGCTTGTGCACCCCCAGTGTACTCACTGGTGGAGCAGCATGAGAAGCAGAAAAGGACTTGACATTGTGTGAGCACTGTTCACCAATAACTAAAACACCTCTGTGTTACCAACGTTGTTTTCACTGGAAATCCAAAATACAGCACCATACAAGCTCCGAACTCTCAGCTGAAACGGGTACACAGGATCAAATTTGAGATACTCCTCATCTTCTGCTGGGCTCACTACAGGCTGGTGCCTGCAGTCAGCTGGCAGGGAAGCGTGTCTTTGAAACAACACTGAATCCAGTGGAAATAGCTCCACAGGATCAAAGTATATTCTCATTTAACGTTTTGTGAGGGAAAGGAAGTACCTCAGTCAACTGAAGTGTATTCTCACGGCGATGCTCTTTATTTCACTAGGGTGTATCAAGAGGATTCCAGTGTGACTGTAAGACACACTTTAGAGTGAAATAGTTCTTTTATTCAAAACTGATGTTTTCAGTCAGTTAACAACTTTCTTTGTTTGTTTTGGATGAAAAGTTCATATATAATTCACAAGAAGTCCATCCTAAATTAGATAAATTAAGGTTACGGTTGTAAGTATGGTGAATATGTCGCTTTGAGCATTTTATTAAAATCCTTTTATTTTTCATGAGAATAAAAATAACTAACTAACCCTAAGACATATAACAAATATCTTTGTAGGTGAATGGACTAATGATATTTTGGGAAATCTTAAATGACACAAACATTACTGTATATTTCTTTTTAATAGGACATACACACATGTTTCAAGTCAAATGAAGATAATTCTGACACAGCAGAAGAAAGTGCAGAACATTTTTTAAGAGCACCTGAAACACCTGAGTTTGTGGGAGCGCTTGACTCAAAGGGGAAGAAAACCCAAATCTCTAAAACCCCTCTGTTTGACTTGTACGTTTTCAGCTTTTATTTTGATTTTGAGAAAGTTGTATTGGTATTTATTGTATAAGCATTTCTGTTGTTTTTGAAAGATACTATAGAAAGACTTATCTAGGAAGCTCTTTGAAAAATATTGGATTTTTTTCTGCATCATGCTAGGTAATTTATTAGATTTTCTTCTGAGAGTATCATTTCCACTTGAGGCTGGAAAGATGTGACTCTGCTTAGGAATATATGAGACTCGGGTTCTTTCTAGCGCCTTAGTTACAATTGTTGTATTTTCCTGCAGTAATATTTGTTACATCAATTTCTATCTTTAAACAGCGATTTTTTTTGGTGTAAAATCATAGGCAGTTGGTAAGAATGCCACCTCACTTTGCTTTAAAGAGTTGTGTTACCTATTCTGTGTTTCAGGAAGCAATTATTTGTGGAAGCTAGGGGAATCTAAAAAAAGTGACAAAAAGAAAAAAAAACTGTACTACTTCTAAAAATTATTAATGTAATTTCTTCCTGTCTATAGCGTTCAGAATGTAGGTTGTGAAGAAGGAACATCAAAATCTCCTGCTTTCTTTTCTCTCATGAACTTCTCCCAGAAGTCACCTGGCTTTAATTTATTTGATTCTTCTGTGTTTGGGGCAGAAAATTCATCTGATGAGGTAAAAATAAGTACTTGAGAATATTAATTTTTCCCTAAACAAAACATATTAAGGAAGCAGCATTGACAGTGAATGAGGTTTTTCAGATTGGTTGTCTTTGTGGCAAATAGTATTTTTTTTTTAGTAGCTTGCTTAATTTTACATTTGGTATCCTTTGGAAGTGCTTATCTTCTTTCCTGGCAAGTCCCCTGTGATGACTTAGGATCAAGTATGAATTTTTCCTATATGGGCAAGATTGGATCTTGTACAAATACAGACGTGACGAGATTCACAAAAAGGCTTCTGTAGGTGCCCTAGCAGAATTCACAAATCACGTGCCTATCCTGTGCGATTTCATCTTGTTGAAGTGAAGAATCAGGTAGTTAAAATTTTTTTTTTTCCCCTCCATTTTTCACACAATGCAGAATGCTGAGAAAAGCAAGGAAAGCACTATCTGTTAGGAATAGTGACAAGCAAATATGAGTTAGCTATCCTTAAGTGGAGCCAATAGGTAGGTAACTAACTGTGACTGGAATCCAGGTCTTTTTTTCCCGTTGCAGGATCCCTGACTGCAGCGCTCAGAGAGTAATTTTTAGTCTTCTGGGCTACTAAGTAGATAATTGGGTGTTCAGGATGGACTGTGCATAGTGCAGTGGTTAGGGGCCACTTCCTGGCAGTGAAGATTCAAACCCCATTATGCAAATAAGGCATCTAAACCCAGGTATCTCCTATTTCAGTGGGTGTGCTCAGTCTTGAGTTTGCTAGATGAAGGCTAAAGTTTGTGTTGTTGATATCTCCTAGCATCAGCTGAGTGTAGGAGAGAAGACACTGGTGAGTAGTTTGTGAATTTTCTCCTTCTGTGGAGACATTCAAAGCCCACCTGGACACCTGTGTGACCTACTCTGGGTGATCCTGCTCTGGCAGGGGGGTTGGACTAGATGATCTCTAGAGGTCCCTTCCAACCCCTGACATTCTGTAATTCTGTGATTAAGTCACCTACTGCTTCAGGACCAACATTATTTTGTGCCTGCTCAGTGGGAAAAGGAAGAATTTACCAGCCTGTAGCAGTCCTGTGGGATTCTCTGAAGTTAAATGGGAGTTTCAAAGGACTTAATTATCTGTTATAAATCTAGCCTAAGAAGTCTTCTCAAGAGTGGTGTGGTTATTCTGCTACTTTTTTTGGCAAGATCAGGTCCTACTCAGCACCCAGTAATTATGTTGTGGCTTAGAGGTTTTCTAAAATAGCACAGAATTAAATAATTTTAAATCTTTTCAGCTTGAAAAAAACAGCAGTAAGACTCCTCAGATTTTAGTCTGTTCTTAGTCTGTTTTTTCCAAAAGAATGGAGGGAGTGTTTTTACAGATGTTAGTAAAAAACATGAAAATTACTTTATCAAAGAGTTGACCTTGCAGCTTTGGGGACTGATATGTAAGTTTAAATGCAGATTTTGTCAAGGCTGGTAACATTCACTCGCACAGTGTCTTTATCATAAAAATGGATGAACTTATGACATATCAGCATTAGAGCTTACCTTTTGTCTTTGTCATTTGTTAAATTGAATGGCTGCTTGCATTTCAGACAGAGGAAAACTATTCTGTGGGAAACTTGAACCCTCTGTCTCCACAAAAAGATATTGGTAAGTCTGAAACTCAGGTATACTTGTGTTTATCAGCTCATAGGTGGGGATTGGTCTGTTCTCGCTAGTGGCAAGTGACAGGACAAGGGGAAATGGCCTTACATTGCACCAGGGAAAGTTCAGGTTGGATATTAGAAAGAATTCCTTTACTGAGAGGGTTGTCAGGCCTTGGAACAGACTGCCCAGGGAGGTGGCTGAGTTGGCGTCCCTGGAGGTGTTTAAGAGAGGGGTAGACGTTGTGCTGAGGGACATGGCTTAGTGGTGTTGGTAGGGCTAGGAAAAAGTTGGACTCGATGATCGTGAAGGTCTCTTCCAGCCAGAACGGTTCTGTGATTCTGTGTGATTGACAAGCTCATGATCCTGCTTAACAAGGTGCCTTTGGTTGTCTAAGAGGGTGTTCTCTTGTGATATTGTAGTTCAGTGGTTTATTGTGTTCATTTGTTTTTAAGCATAAATCTTGCCCTTTATGTTTGGCTTCAAATGTATGAGATGTCATGAAAAAAAAAAGAGGTATGAGAGAGAGAAATCGGGACTGCATTAGGTGGGTTCAAAGCAAACTGAGAGGAGCTGCAAATGTCAAAGATTTTGCACTGATAAAAGGAAAAGTTTGGGGTTTTTTAATGTAAAAAGCTATAGTACTTGGTAATTACTACTTTTAACTTAAGACTACCAGCTTGGTGTTGGGAAGAGGACTACAACAGGGTTTTTCCCTCCCTTGACTAAATGAAGATAAAGTCTCCATTTGGTTAAAGAAATCTCAATTGTAAACTGAATTCCATCAGTTTAAACCGTAGGAGATAGTGTAAAAATAGCACAAGTGAGAGAGAGAGGAATGACTTAAACAGTTTCTTCTGCTCATACTAAGTGAGCCACGCACGTTTACACTATCTGTGTGAGATCCTGACTTTACCAAAATGAAAGGGAAATTTTTCATGGTATCAGTTGAATAAAACTTAATGAAACACTTTTCTGAAGGGAACTGTAATCTTTTTTTTTTTGAGGTTCTGCAAGTGCAAAGCTATTTTTGAAGTGGATGAATATAAGGTTGTATGCATATGTAACTGTTGTAGAGAAATGTGTGTGAATTTTGTGTTACTAAATATAGAACTCAGGTGTTTTTCTGTCTGTAGCTTTGTTTCTCCAAGTATTTCGGTGGTTGGTTGCATTGTTGTGTAGAGAAGAAAAAGTCTGCAAAAGTATGTCAGTTTATGAAAATCTCTGTATTCAAAATAATTCACTTAGTGTAGTGTATTAAGCAAAAGTATTTTGTTTAAATCACTCAAGTACTTCACACCTCATTCTAGATAGATTCCCGTAATGCCCTCCTGGAAGTACCGTTCCTAGTGCAGAAGTAAGCTCACAGGAGTAGGGTGGCATTCAGCGGGATGTTGGGAGTGCAGTATTAATATAGAAGTGTATTATGCTGAATGCAGTATCCTTTCAGTCAGATACAGTGCAATAATTAATACAATATGTATTTTATATAGGAAGCTTTTTTGGGAAATCAGAAGGTGAGGATGCGTTTGCCTTTCCCTTCTCCTCGGAATCGACCTCTGCATTTGGAGATGGAAAAGATGATTTTAGTTTTCCATTTGCATTTGGACAGGATCAGAGATCATCATCACAGTCTCCTTCTGTGAAAGGTTTTCATTCTTCCTTACAAAATACAAAGCCTTTTACATTCTTTTGAATACCTTTGACTTCCTTTTAAATTCTTTTCCTACTTAGCCTTGACAAATGTTTTCAGTTTCTTAAGTACAAAGCATTTCATCTTCTCCTTTCATTTGCTGTGAGAATACATTATTGCAGTTGCTACAAGAGCATGTGTATGTTCATCAGGCACACATGCTTTGAGATGCAGCTATTATTTTTCTTACTCATTTTCTAAATATGTTTATTTCATAAAATGTTATGATACGCTCTTGCTAAATTAGCACTTGGAAGGAGCAGAAATACCATTTTACAGTAGCATGTTAGTTAAATAGCTGTGAGAGAGCATCTAAGCTTCTAGTTGAGTACCCTAAGCCTCTGATATAAACTAAACTTGTGTTAGTAAGAGTAACTGTTTATTGTAGCAGTAAAAGCTGAATTTGAGTTAAAGGCAGTGTTCTTAAATTAGTTGTTATTCACAGAATACTTGTAAAATTTTTTCAATAAACATTTTTGTTAATTTTATGTAAAGTTTTGTTGGTATTTCTTAATATGTGAAGTGACATAATGTTGCAATGATATTTAACATTTTAACTTCTGTCCTGTCTTTCTAACTGGAAATCAAATTCCTTTCTCTGTATGTAGTATCTTTCAAAAAAAGATAGAAAAGCAGACAGTTCCCAGAGCCTAGCTGTGGTCAGTACAGGTATATCCACCACTTCTCCACGAATGGCTTTCCTCATGGAATGGAAAACAAAATCAGGGTTACTCGACAAGGAACGCTGACTCTTCTGAGCTACCACAGCACTGTGGCCTGTGAATCTCTCAGAACCATTTTCTGTAGAATCAGTGGTTTCACATTTATGGCCTTTGAAGGAAGTACCAGGTCACTTTTGAGTTATTTTTTTTGTTACATGTGAAATGCAGGTTACTAATTTTCGAAATGCCTTAGGAATTTATATGGGAAGTTGTGTTTCTCAGTCACTATGAAATAAACAACCTCCCTGACAGCAGGCAAGCAAAATACCAAAATGGAAGCAAAGCAAATAAAAGGGAGACCACATCATTCAGCGAACTTCACAGAAGATGTTGCAAAGGCACAAACTACTCAGAAGGGCACGTGGACTGAGTTGAACAAGCTGACAAAGAGCATCCTACCAGTATAGTCTGCACAGTCTGTGAATAAAATGTCAACAGAGTCCAAATGGGAGCAGAATTCCCTTCCCTTTGCGTCAGCCCTAAATCACCAAAAGCTTGCTTACCTGTAACACTCCTTCTTTTCTGCCAAACTCCTAAATGCCTTAGAACTATTTTTGTGCAGCCCAGCTTCTTCTTAAGTAATTGTGCATAAAGATCAGTGAAAATTGCGTATTTTTCACTGGAGAAAGATTCAGGAAGCTTTCATGAATTCTGTCATCCATGTCTCTGACATTACAGTCTGGTAGTCGAGGCTGCTGGGTGAAGAGGGAGAAGCCGTAGGTCTAGGTCTTCCTGGATTTTTTACTTAGACAAATTGGATAGGCTGATTAATAACATAAAAGAGAAAGCTGCTTCAGAAAATGCAACCACTCAGTATTTGGAATATGTTCCTGAGATCTAAGAGCATGGTCTGCTTATAAACATACACTGAGATTTTTCCATTAACACCTGACAAGTTCTGCCTGTTGTTATTCCTACAAAATCAATAGCAGTCATGCTGCTGGATTGCTGAGACTAGCATGTACCTCATTGACCAAAGTCATTTCATTTTGTTCTTGACACACACACCTGGCTACATCCCCACCTCTGGTCTGAAAGTGTGGACAGACATCCTCTTGTCCTGTAGCAGGGGCTGCTTGGAAGCAAAACACGATCTGTTACACACGAGACCACAGCCTGAACAGGAGACCATTGACCTCCAGCGGTGGGGTAGCAAGGGCAGCTGGGAGCTGTGATCTCTTAAAAAGCAGCGTAGCTATCTGTGAGGTGGCAATATGGTTATACCGAGTAAGCCTGCCAGGAATCCTTGGAGCTGGGGGTTGGCTTTTTGTTCTGGCCTTGCTCTGCACCTGGTAAAAGAGAGTTCAGGTTCACAGCTGAACCCTAAGGTAATAAAAATAAAAAAACCAGCCCTCTGTTAAATAAGCAGAGTGGGGATTTGACTTTGAATCTCATATTAGTATCCTAACCAGGGCCCTGATATCTTTACTGTTCTATTTAAGTTTTTAATGATGTTTTTGACAGAAAACTATTTACTTGAAAATCCCTTGTAAAAGCTAGCGTGTCGCCTGGCATTAGCTTAGTGCTGGTTAAATACATTATGCCACCAAAATGGTAGGAAATACCACTGCATTTGAATAAATCAATTTTTTAATTTGTTGAGTAAAGCTTTTGAACTGTGAAGAATAAAATTGACACTTTTGGTGCTGCCTGAAAGAGGACACTGATATCTCAGTTTTCTTTCTCAGTGAGAGATAATACCTGTCATTTTGCTGGTCAGAAATAACAGAAGGAACATTTCTCTGCATTTGCCTTGTGCAAAGTCATCTTCCAGTAAAAAAAAAAATCAGTATGATTTGTAAGGTGATATACCACTTTGACTGGAGCCTCATATACTGTTTTACTGTTAATTTTACTGATGCATAAGTGTAAAGCTTGCTTATAAACAGTCCAGGCTATTTGGCTAACAAAAAAGCAACAGCTGGACAGGTTTTATGCTAAAAAAAATCTTAGAAACTAGGAGGTAAAGACTAATGAAACGACTTCCAGCAGTTGTGGGACATATAATTTATTTTATTGTAATCATAGAATCATACAATGGCCTAGGCTGGAAGACAGAAAAGTAGTCATTAATCAAACCATTCCCACTCAAAAGTCAGATTTCCAGTTAAGAGCAATTTATTAATTTTCTATATCTCCAATCTAAATCTATCAGTATAAAGCATATATGCACAGCATAACGTTCTTTAGGACAGATTTCTTTGTGTGGTTGTATATAATGCTCAAGGTGACAAACCCATGAGAGTTCCTTAATTTTACATCAGAAAAATGTTCAGTGTTCAAATAATGTTCAATTTTCAAATACGAATGGGACATGTGATAGTGTTAAAATTGATTCTTTACCATATTAAATTTTCAATTATAACATTGAGTAAATACTGTGAGAGGTAAAAAAAAGTATATAGCAACATACTGTAGACACACCTCATACAATTGTTCACTCATTTTATGCGTAACGTAGCAAAAGCAACTAGAATTTTGTGTTGGAAAAGTTGCAGTGATACAAGTGATACAAAACTGAGTTACAACCCATGGTGTTGATCAGAGCACGTTAAATGTAAGTAGTGGCTTTACTTCTAACTACCTGTTGAGATTAATAGTAGGATGCCAAAAATATCACCCAGATCTTTAAATAATTAATTAAAACCCTGGTTTCAGTTGCAGCTCTTTACAGTCTGAGTTGCTCTTTCCACACAACTCAAGAAAATTACTGCACCAAACCCCACTGAAATTCTGTACGTGGTTACCTGCTGAGTTTTGGTCCTATACAAAGAAAAAAATTCTACTTCATTTTTCGTTTCAAGACTGCGAACATAGTTAAAACTTAATGTTGGAAGTGGCATCACTGCATACATGAAGGTAAATGCAAACTTTGGGGGCAGTGGTAGAAGGGTCATTGCATCGTAAGAAAACAATCTTACACTATAGCATTAATACTCTTAAGCATTTCAAGGAAATAAGCTTTAAGTGCTACTTATTGTAACAGATTGGAATGTGTAGACTTACAGTATTAGATGGCAGTAATCTCCCTGGTGCAAGGCTGATTGCACGGGTAGCAAGGGTTGGCTAATCCTTTTTGGCCAATGGCATAAAACAAGGATTAGTTTTTCATTTACTGCAACTGAGTGGGTCATTAGGATCCAAAGACACTAATGAGGCTGAACAGGCAATTGGATTCTGGTTTCAAAGTTATGGGCTAGTTTAAAAGGAGATGATTGTGTCTTTTAATGATTTAAAACGTGATGTTTCCGTGACCTTTTCCCTGAAAAAAATGAATGAAGGCTATAACCACGGAACACAAACCTGGAATGTTGACTTCTTCTTTCGGAACTTGAGTTGTTGCCAGATTCGTTGCCTTAGAGGCTGAATGGCTCATTTAGAAATATCTTTGTTGCCTTGCTTTTATGTTCTGCTCTTGATGTCTCCGGAGTTGACACAAGTCACATGCAATCAAGTCTATATTCCTGGTGGACAGGCACTGTCCTAATATTCTCTGACTCACACCCAGGTTGTTTGCAGCTCAGCAGTTCTGCTTCCAGACACATCACTTTGTGTTCTGATGCTAACATCTTGCTGAGAAATTGCCTCTTGGCACATTGTTTCTTGAATCCTGTACCTTGCTTGATTTGATGTGAAGATGATGCTCTTTTTAGCACTTGCAACACGTTACCTTTGGAAAGGTAAATTTTTCCCCCCACTTCGCTACATCCTAATTTTTCTTCTTTTCAGTTATCACTTGAGTGCAGCAATAATAGGTAGATTGTATTTGGTTTCATTTTAATCAAAAGATCCTGCCAAAAAGGGTATAGAAGAAAACATCAAAAGATGAATGTTTCCAGGTTAATAGAATGTTTAAACATATGCAAAAGGCATATGTTTGACTGTTAGGATTCCCCAGGAGAAATAATGTCAAATGTTTTAATAACAGGAGCTTAATTTTCTGTATTGTATTGTAGCGCAATCCATAAAGCAGCCACAAACTCATCTGATGCAGCACAGGACTTACTTGCTGGGTAATCCTTTGAGACTTAGGTTGGGGAATCAGGGAAAGAAGTACAGGGCTAAGTAAAAAAAAGTGCTCGCTAGTGGGGAACCAGCTGTTATGGCTGGTGGGAAGGTTGGTAGTTGGCAGTCCATACTCAAACTCAGTTTGGAGCCTGCAGTTCTTATCTGCTCCCTTCTGCTGGAGCAGCACTGCCTTGAGCTAAGCGTGGTCTCATGCTGTTTTTTTTTCTTTTTCTTGAGGCACGTGTTTGGCTATATGTACTATTTCCACAAAATGAGTGATGCTACGATCAGTGCTGTTATTCACTGGCACAGCTGCAAGGTCTTGTGTCCAGAAGCTATGGATATCGGAAGTGCTTAAAAATGTTTCCTAACAATTATCCACAAAAATCCAGTGTAAGCAATGTTTCTATTACGGTTCAGGGAGGTGCCAGGCCTATGTAGCATTCTAGCTGTTACCCAAGCAGGACACCATGCCACATGGGTTGACAAATGTCACTGGATACAATACATA